TAAAAATTTCTGGTTGAACTTGTGCTGAGCTTCCTTTTTTTACTATATAATACACTCACCTAAAGGATTATTAGGAACACCTGTTCAGTTTCTCATTAATGCAATTATCTAATCAACCAATCACATGGCAGTTGCTTCAGTGCATTTAGGGGTGTGGTCCTGGTCAAGACAATCTCCTGAACTCCAAACTGAATGTCAGAATGGGAAAGAAAGGTGATTTAAGCAATTTTGAGTGTGGCATGGTTGTTGGTGCCAGACGGACCGGTCTGAGTATTTCACAATCTGCTCAGTTACTGGGATTTTCACGCACAACCATTTCTAGGGTTTACAAAGAATGGTGTGAAAAGAGAAAAACATCCAGTATGCGGCAGTCCTGTGGGCGAAAATGCCTTGTTGATGCTAGAGGTCAGAGGAGAATGGGCCGACTGATTCAAGCTGATAGAAGAGCAACTTTGACTGAAATAACCACTTGTTACAACCGAGGTATGCAGCAAAGCATTTGTGAAGCCACAACACGCACAACCTTGAGGCGGATGGGCTACAACAGCAGAAGACCCCACCGGGTACCATTCATCTCCACTACAAATAGGAAAAAGAGGCTACAATTTGCAAGAGCTCACCAAAATTGGACAGTTGAAGACTGGAAAAATGTTGCCTGGTTTGATGAGTCTCGATTTCTGTTGAGACATTCAGATGGTAGAGTCAGAATTTGGCCTAAACAGAATGAGAACATGGATCCATCATGCCTTGTTACCACTGTGCAGGCTGGTGGTGGTGGTGTAATGGTGTGGGGGATGTTTTCTTGGCACACTTTAGGCCCCTTAGTGACAATTGGGCATCGTTTAAATGCCACGGCCTACCTGAGCATTGTTTCTGACCATGTCCATCCCTTTATGGCCACCATGTACCACTTCCAGCAGGATAATGCACCATGTCACAAAGCTTTCAAATTGGTTTCTTGAACATGACAATGAGTTCACTGTACTAAAATGGCCCCCACAGTCACCAGATCTCAACCCAATAGAGCATCTTTGGGATGTGGTGGAACGGGAGCTTCGTGCCCTGGATGTGCATCCCACAAATCTCCATCAACTGCAAGATGCTATCCTATCAATATGGGCCAACATTTCTAAAGAATGCTTTCAGCACCTTGTTGAATCAATGCCATGTAGAATTAAGGCAGTTCTGAAGGCGAAAGGGGGTCAAACACAGTATTAGTATGGTGTTCCTAATAATCCTCTAGGTGAGTTTATATGGTATGCTTCTTCTGAAAAGAAAACATTATCTAAAGTAAATTTAAATCTATTTCAATATGCTCAAAGCTGATCAGTAAGACAGTGTGATTATCACAGACAATAGTTGCTGTAAAGGAAGTGAAATGTAATCTACATAAACATAACATCACATGGAGCTGGTTAATGTCACCTCCAGGCAGGCACTCCCATCAAAATCTATCCCACATCATATGTGAAAGCACATACGTAGGTCCTAATCAGGTGACTCACTGATGTGATTAAATGCAGATGCAGTTCACATCAGATATTATTTGACCTGGGAATTTTTTTTTTCAACACAACACAAAAACATTACTGTGCTGCTTGTCTGATTCTGTCCAACCTTCCTTATGTTATTTTATTTGTACAGTTTATCTCTTCAGCCCTGTCTCTCCTTCTTTCATGGAAGTTATAATAATGAAAAATCTCTTTTCCCTGTTGGCAATAAAGAGACCATCAGATATAAGGAAAGGAAAGAGAAAGAGAGAGAGAGGGTGTGACAATCGTATTAGCCAGACTGCATGGTTGATTTTTTATTTTTTTTTTGGGAGAAAATAAAGACAATGGTGTGTCTATCTGTGTTTGTGTGTGTGATCCTGTGTGTCGCTCCTTATGTTTGTGTATGTGTGTGCGTGAGAGAGCAGAGGAAGCACTCTCTATTAGCTAGTTCTTCATTCACTTGCGAATTTGATTTCACTATATACATCACACACACACACACACACACACACACACACACACACACACACACACGCGCGCGCGCATACACACACACACACTATCCCACAAAAATAGACCTTGAATGTCAGAAACCCTCACTTTCATCTTTCTTTCACTTTCTGTAAAAGAATTTTGGTTTTACCTCATAAATCTCAAAACACATAAAACGTTACAAAGGAAATAGAGCGTGTGTGTGTGTGTGTGTGTGTGTGTGTGTGTGTGTGAAAGTTTGTTTTTGCAGGAGTGAAGCATTGAAAATACGATACTGGAGAGGAAGCAGAAGAGAAATGGAATGGTTATTTACATAACAAAATATTAGCTTTTTTTATGCTGGCTTTGTCGTTATCAATAAGCTCCTTACAAAACCAAGAATGCCTTCACTGTTTCAAAAGGATCTTTCATTTTATTTATTTTTATTGGTAAATGCCTTTTCAAACAACACAAAATGCAATGAAGCAGACTTCCGTCATTGCTAAACTCTGTGGCAATGGCCGCTGAAGCAACACAGAAGTACCCTGAAATTAGCCGTATTTCCTGTAGTGACATTAAAGCAACAGGAAGCAATTTCAACACATGATCATATAGAAGGCACAACGTGTTGTTGTATACTTCTAACCACTGAATGATGTGGCAGGTGAGAGAGCAGTTATTTGTATGGATGAGTGAGTGGCATGAGTTGAGCAAGGATCATACTTTCCGTGTCTGCGAGTACGCGAGGCAGACCCTGACCCATGTACAGTATGTGGGATTTGTGATCTGGTTAACGGAGAAGCATATATGTGATTAAGTATACTGTACACAAAAGTGTATTAAATCGCATTTGTATTTTTTCTGCAATTGAGACATTTGAAATGACAAGTATAAATGGAGATTAATGAATAAAACAGTATAACCAGTATATTGCCTGGGTCAGAATATGTCTTGAATTCACTTGAATTCATATTTTAGAATCAATATGTCACCATATATACTTAGAGTAGAATTCAGTGATATCTGTGCATTTATGCTGCAACTGCTGTACAGTTACTTCACAAAAAGGGTTTATTTTTATTTTTTCCGTGTCCTAGAGTTGTTTACTACAGTGACATAAATGATAAAATCAACTTAAACATATTTGCCTATCGGTGTGACATGCCTAACTATTTGATGGACCATCACAGTTCACGCCACTACCATTTCCAACACATTACTGCATCCGACAAAAGTGGGTTGTTTTTTTTTTGTTGTTTGTCTTTTTAAAAAGCTGTTTTTGGTACAACTACAGAAATAACATATTTCGACTGTAGGCTGTGTGCCAGTTTTTAATTTGTTTGTATGTCACAACAATGTGGGGATGTTTCTGCACTGATATTGCCATTACTATAGCTACACCGTATTCCTTTATGTGATTTAAGCGATTTCCATTTTTCTCTGCTTTCAGGATTGCCAGATTGCAGACATGGTATATATTGGTACACATTTAGTTCAGTATCAAATTGTTACAGAAGCACAGCTGAAAAGTTTGCATGAGAACACACAGAAATAATTTCCTGTTGAGGTCAAGCATGAGGATTCCCTGTGTTTCATTACATGGTAATTATATTGTGACGTGCTTACTGTATGTCAGGAAACACTGGAAAAATGGGAAGGAGAAAGGTCAAGAAGGGCAGTGAAAAAATTTAACGGAAAGCATTTTTAAAATGATAAAGAGGGAGAGGAAGAAAAGAGGAGAGATGAGAGGAGAGAATGACCAAAAATAGGAAGGCAGCAGAAACAGAGAAATACAGATAAGATATAGATTAGGAACAGAGGGAGAGAATAAAGAGATAGTTTGGGGTTTTTAAGAGAGTTGCCACCATTTGTGCTTTGAGTGAGTGGTGTCAGACAAGATGAGAGAGAATGAAAAGGACAGGGAGTAAGTTCGTTGAGAAATGAGAATCAAGATGCTAAGAAGGGCCAACTAAAGGACACGGGGGATCTGAAAACAAGGGTAGGCAAATTGACAGGAGAAATGGAGGCATACTAGACGGTGAAGCACTGTTTTGATGAGCCAAAATGTGGACGGACAGAATGATTAGCAAAAAGTGCATGTACAGGAGGGAAACCAATTCAAGACTTCAACTGAAGAAAAACGGCAAGAGGAATGGAAGATGGCAAATGACAGAGTAGAAAAGTAGAAATAGAAAGATGAGAAGAGAGGCAAGGAGAGGGCAGACAATGAATACAATAGGAAAAATAGGAGGTGAGAGGGTGAAAGAAATGGAGAGGAGGATGAAAAGATAGGTGATAAAGTAGGTCCATAATGGAGGATAAAAGCAAGGTAGGGAGGAGAAGAAGAATATGAAAGCAGGTTTTAGAGGAAAAGTAGATAGAGGGCTGAGAGAGGGCAGATTCTTAAAGAAACTGCATGTTTTTTGCTAATAGAAAGCTTGATAAATTAAAACGCGGAGACAGAAAGATGAGAGGACAGATTGAGAAGAGAGTGCAAGGATGGGGCAGGCGTTATTCCGCGTTATTTGTATGTTTAAAAACACTTCATCATAACTAGAGATACACGTTAGGCAAAAATGTCAATATGAATGTTTCCTTGTTTGTGACAGGTAGAGGTCACAGACAGACAAAAAGTATCTTGCCACAATCACATCAGACAGTAAGAGATTACTTTTAACAACTCATAGGTACAAATATAGCTTGGACCACATTGAATTTGGCTCCTACGTCAAGTATTTTCTGACGGTCCTCAAGTGTTGTCTTTGTATAGTGAAAGGTAAGGCAGGAAGCATTATGAGTAGGGAAGACAAAAACACAAAAATAAGGTACACACAGATTTGAGGAACAACAAATGAAACGCTTTTTAATTGGTTACAGAAAAATAGATGACACGTGTAATACTGAAAGATACAAGAGATTTATGTTTACCTGTGTTGAAAAGTATCACAAATTGCACGCTGGGCTGGGGTGGAGCAGAAAGGAGGGGTAAGAAGAGTGATAAAAGGGAATGTAGGTTAAAAAAGAAAGGGCTAAGAGATGAAGGATGGAGAGTGGGAATTAGGGGACAGAGGTGAAAAGGAAAGGATGTGAGACAAAAGGAAGGGTGATGGGGACGTAAAAAAAGATTTGCTGAGGAAAGGGAAAGGTGGAGAGATGGGAAGAACTAAGAAGAGCGGAAGAAGATTTGGGTGGATAAATGCCACAGAGAGATGGGCAGAGAGGAAGACAGAGAAAGCAGGGAGGAAGTGTGTAAGGGAAGTAAAGAGGGAAGAAAAAGAAGAAGTTGGAAGACTTAACGCTAGAGGAAAGGATGATATGAGTGTACTGGGGAGAAGAGGAAGAGAAGGAGGAGGAGAGATGAAAGAGGAAGGGAGGAAATAGAAGGATGGAGGGAGGCGAAATAAAAGGAAGAATGGTAGCTGCAGGACAAGAAAAAGAAATGTGGCGCAGCGGCAGCAAGAAGGTTTGGCTCTTTTCCATGCCTGAAAAAAAGAAACTTGGCCTTCCATTCCTCCTCCTCCTCTCATCTTCCTCATTTAATTCAAGGAATCTAAAAGCTGAAGGCACACCTGGGCAGTTGTGTGTAAGCTTATTTTGAAGGACACACTCAAACATGTGGAATACAGATTAAAAGCTGCCTTGCCTCCCTACTTGACTCCTGTTTTATTGTTCTATCTGTACACAAAGCCATTTCCATATTATTGGTTAGCTGACCAAGGCTCACTTTTTTGTTGGTACACTTTGAACTTGTGGCTTGATTTATTTAAAAGCCTTTATCAAGTAGTAGGTTTTATTGCAGCCCTTATTTATATTTTCAAAAGATGAGTTGTTTGTGTTCTGCCTCAGAGGCTTTATGCCAGGCAGTGGTTCTGTTAAGAGCAAACATCAGAGACAGGAGTGTAATCAAACTGGAAAAGTATAAATAGTAATATAAATTACAGGAAGTTATTATGTTTGTCTCATGTGGCATACAGCAATTTTGAAGCTTGAGGCTTTTCCTGAGCAGACAGCAAAGATGCACTTTTTGTACTAAACTTCACTAAACAGAAGATGTAATTAAAGTTCATGTTTTTTGTGTTTGTTTTCGAGTGTTACTTAATTCCAAGTTGGCAACAGAAACTAAAAAGGTCTAGCAGAGTTTCTTGACCAGTTATCAAAAGGGTTCAAATACATGAACACAGTGAAGTCATGCCTGTTACAAATACCTTCTGCACGCAATATGCACTTCTTTGTGTGTAATTGATGGATTTCTCCGTTCGACACACATTAATATGCTAATCTCTTTGTCGCTATAGGTTAACAAGCTGTAAGGCCTTTTGTGTTGCCAACAAAAGATTATTAGTTTTTAAGTATTAAGTATTGTTTTTCTTGAATATTTACTGTGTCTGGTAATTTGTAGATAATGTCAATATGTTTTCTGATGTGTTTTTACAGGCTAACAGGGTTCCAGGTTCCTCCCCCTGTCACCAGCACAGGAAATGTCTTCTCTTTGAGGTTGACCAGTGACTTTGCTGTCTCTGCACACGGCTTCAAACTCAACTATGAAGGTCAGAAAGTGTGTGGGTTGGTATGTGAGAATGTTTAGGGTGTGCTTCAGTGTTCACCTCTGTAGTTCAGAAGAATGAACAGTGTGAATAACAAGCACTCCTACTTACTTAATGTCAGATAAAAAATCCATAACTCAGATAGGATTGTGGGTGTGAGTCATGTAAGAAACAAAGAAGGGCATTCAACACTCACCCCTTTTGTTTTTGAATGCAGAGGTAACTGAGCACATTTGTTGTTTACCGTAAGCAACTTGTGTTGATATTTAAGTAGTATATAAACATTTAATAAATGTGTTCTACCACTCTAATTTAGTTAGAAGCAGATATTAATAAGATGTTTATGTGTTCATAAATGTATTGTATTTTTTAACAATTATAAAATCTCCAATGAAATTTGATATTTTTTATATTATCACAACCATGTTTTATTGTTTTGTCATGCATTATTGTTTATACACCAAAATCTAGGAATGGGTGCCCACAGGAGGAATTATAGTTGTTGACAAATACATAAATAAACACCTATATCTGCTTGCAAATACATTAGTGTGTTATAAGCAATTTATTAAATGTTTATATACTGCTTATAAATGCTAGATAAGGGGACTTAAAGTAAATTGTTATCTTTTTTATGTTGGTGCAGGCCATAGACTATATATAAAAAGATGGATGACATCTCTATCGCACCCCGGTGACAGTATAGGTCAATGCCATGTTCTGAAAATGCTTTTGACTCCTATCCAGTACAGGAAAGAAAACCTAATGGGTGACAAGTTAATTCCTTTTCAACACGGGAGGCTATCAAACTTAGCAAATCCATAGGGAGAGGAAAGTATGGGCAGAGCTTGGCACAAAATGACAGCATACTGAAGGCTCATATTGTGGTAATTTTTATATTATAGAACACAAGATTTTACAAATCGATCCATTTTGACCCTCAAGGCAAATGATTGGACACTAAACACCTTACCTATATGCTCATTTTATTTAAGCAAAGCTAAAACAGACAAACTTTCTCTCTCTGACACATTGTAGTTTTAGTAAACATAACTGAAGTAATTTTAGCATGACACAAAACAATTATATTTACAATGAATTAACCTTGCTTTGCTTGTTTTTGAACATTTTAACAAAGAAAAATAAGGGGATTACTTCTAGAGGGAACTTGGCCCCTTCCAGGGGTAGTTAAAGCGTCCCCCTTTGCCCTCTTCCTTTAGGGCCTGAGTAAACGGCATGGTACCATTTTAACAGATGAAAGAAGAGATATGATAAGTGATGGTTAAAATTAGATCACGCTATGTATCGGCACCATGTCCTGTGTGCATTAAAGATTTCAGATTAGATTTAGATTAGGAAAAACTTTGATGTCCTCAACGAGGCGGTTAGTTCCGGAGCATAACACAGAAGAGCATAAAACTGTCTACCAGCGGCAGACACACGACACTGAGCAAACCAACAAAACAAATTAGTACACAATTATGTAGTTCTTTCTACTGAGCAGATCTGACAAGTTAATAGCACTGTCTGACCCACAAGTACAGTACATGTATGACCCCATATGTCATTTCAAAAGACACACAAAAGAAATTCATTTAGGTAGTGTATAATACACATTAAGTTTTAGGTTTGAGAAAATGCGGTGTGATATCAACATTGTAATCATACACTTATCGTTACACATCAGAACTCTCAGTTGCAATGTATATATTATGGTTTCAGAGATACACAGTTAAGGTGTATGAGATGTAGCCAATTTAGTAGTCCTGTGTATTAATGCTGACTGTGGATTATGACTTATTACCAAATGTACTGTAACCAAGGTAGCACTGGTGACTGTTTTTTCAAGAAACTAAAACCATAATAGAGAGTGGAAAATGTTTTTTAATAAAATGCACACATACTTAAAGCAGCACTGAGGCCTATATTCACAGTGGGGAATGTTCCCTCGAAAGAAATTGTAATACAACAGCTAGTCTCACTGTTTAGTTCCTCAGATCGTAGAGTGATGAATGTAAACCTGTAGATTATTCTATAGAAAAGACTGATTAGCACTGGCTAAGGTTACAACAGAATCACCGCTAGCTCACCATATTAGCATATTAAAAATCTTGTTGTATTTACATCAGTATCTCATAATTCTTTCAGCAGCGGAAATATGAATATTACCCCCTATAAAACAAAAGATCACAGAATTATTATGAAAGTGGTACTGTTCACAGAGTAATGCATAATAACAATATCACTGCCTTGGTTTAAGTCTGCACACATGCTGTGTCTGAGTTTGTGTGTGTGCATGCCTGTGTGTTTGTGCTACTTGTATGTCCAAGCAGTTGTCCCAGATTTATTCCCTGGCACAAGTTTCTACTTGCTACTTGGCCCATGTTCATTCTGTGTGATTGTGTGTGTGCTTGTGGGCGACACGGAAAGAGTTTGCTCTCAGTGAGAGCATCCAGGGGACTTATCTGAAGAGCCCCTGCTGCTGATACATTCATCTGTTTAACATACTCTGTGTGTGTGTGTGTGTGTGTGTGTGTGTGTGTGAGAGAGAGAGAGGGGGAGTTGGTGAGACAGAGAGGCAGACCACACTTGGTATTTACTAAAATGCAACATTATGCTGATGATCCGTCTGTATTTCTATATTCAACATTTCTTACTGCCCACAGCTCACAGCTACGCTTTACATTTATACAGCCAGGAGGAGATTTTCTCAGAAGGAATGATCCACCCGGGTTTGGACATTTTTTGGCAAGTCAGTCTCAGTCCATGTAATCCTTCTGCCTAATCTGTTACTGGAGCCATTTATAGATTTTCTCAGGTATTGCTTAAGCATTTTTAGAAAAGAACTGAGTAAAAAATACCTGCTCATCATCATTATAGTGTTGTTTGTTGTTTACAAGCACAACTCTTATTTTCAGTGAAATTGCAAAAATTTTGAACCACCAGAAATAAGAAATCTAGAAATCACTTGTTAAATCATAGGTCTCTCTATCTCTTTCACACTCAAAATATCTACACATTACAGATGCAAGTTCAGTCTTTTTCTTTTATAATCTTTGACATGAAAAATGAAATGGAAAATGTTTACCAGAGGAGTAAATTTAACCGACCTCTGGGACTGATAATTTTAGGCATGCAAGAATTAAATTGAGACAACACTTCCATCATTAGATTGTTAGTATGTGGGATAAAAAAATAATCAATCAGGTTAACTAGAATGAGATAAGATAATACTTATTAATATCAGGTGTAAATGGGGTGAAAGAGTTAGATACCATGATAGATACTATTTGTGATGTCAGTTTGATTCCACAATTTTATTTTGCTTATGTTTTTAATCTAGCAAAGCCAGAGTTTATCAAAACTAATTTAATTTCTACTTATTTTTATATAAAGATTTATCCTGTACACCATGTAGTAAATTGGAGCAAAATTTACCAGACTGCTGTTCAGAGGGAGCCAAGGCAAAACTCTGGATTTACCAATAGATGTACGCTCCAACCCCCATGTTTGGTCATGAGCTCCGGGTTGAAACTGAAAGAAAGAGCTTGTGACCACACAGTTTAGAATTTTTGGAATGAGCTTCTTTACATTGAAATGAGCTGACATCATTTGGGCCTCTGACGTGGAAGCCTCCTGAACATCTTGATGTCGAGTCAAACTGGGAGGTGACCCTGGGGCAGACCCAGAAGCTGCTGGAGGGCTTTCATATCCCACCTGGCCTGTGAACGCCTCGGGATTCTTGCCTCGGGAGCCCAGGAGGAGCTGCCCTTCTTAGCCTGCTGCTGCTGCACCTTGTAGCTGGATATGCTTTGTAAAAAGGATGAATGGATGGATAGATGGAAAAGCATACTGTACTGTGGGATCTAAGATAGAAACAGTGCTACAGAGATGTGCATTATATACACCTTATAAAACAGAAAATTTAAATTCCTTGATCGCTCCATAGAAAGGAATTTTGCAAAGGTACAGTAGTGTGGCTCTACCTTTTCAGCCCATCTGTGTGGTGCGCTGCACATTGATGTGATTGTTGGACTCCTTGAACATCCCCTCCCCTTTCTCTGAAGACTGTCAGGTCATAAGTAATTCATTCACCGGCACATACCATACAGTGTGTGTATGTGCATGTGTGTGTGAAACAGAACAAGAGAGTGATGTATTATTTAGCATGACGTCGAAGGCAGTTTGATATTGTGCTGATGAGACGGAATCATAGATTATCACAGCTCTTAGACACACACACAAAACACACACACACACGCACACACACACACACACACGCACACACACACACGCACCATTCTTTCTCAGCATGATAGTTGTTGAAGAATTATTCTTTTATTCTTGTTTCCTTTTACTCCTCCTGTGCCTCCTTCTACTCTACATTCTCTTTAGTCGTTCTTATTCATCCTCTCCTTATTTTTATTGATTTGTGTTTATTATCTTAACTGAATTTGGAAAACTACAGTAAATAATAAACCAAATAGTAACAAAATAGTGACTGTTCCATTCTGTGATCTGCTATGCCACACTTAATTTACTCTACTTCTTTATTGGTTTGAATATGTGAACAAGAACTGTATGACACAAGTTGAATACATGCAGTATTGGAAGTTACAAACTCTAAGTGTTAGACATGAATTTTCTCTTTAATTTTACTCACTCACTCATAGTCAACTGCTTATCCTGTGTACAGGGTCACAGTTTTTCATTATAGGCCAGAAGTTAATTATTTGCAGGTAATTCGAGAAAGGTGGATTTAAAGCATCTACTTTGTATTATATAAGTAGTTAACCTCAAACATAAATGGATATTACCCACATTCATACAATACATTTAGGCACATCCATGGTTTCAGAGACACGGACATGCATACAAACGCACACACACACAGGCATACCGTATAGATGCAGACACACAGCTCCCAGATGTAATAATTGTCTTCAGAACATGGACCAGAGAACATGTTCTTTATCCTAGAACATGCTGTCATGTGACTTAAC